TTATGAGTTAGATCTGTTACGAACATGGATAGATTGTGCAAGGAAGTGAAAAAAGCAAGTTGTAGAGGAATGTGTGTGGTACAGTTCCAATTTTGTTAATACACACACATCAAACATATACATGGATCTATTTAAGAGATGGATATGTATATCAAACCAAGAAATCGTTCTGGTAGGGATCTTTTTTTATATTTAATATTTAAGTGTTTTATGAAGTAGGAAATCATTCATGTTTTATTATTTTTATTCTTCTCCCTGATGAAATGACCCAGCTAAATCCATTCAAATACAAAATAATTTTTTATTCTGCCTCTCTGAGTGCTAGGAAATAGTCATTTATCTTTATTCTGAGTTTTAAGAGCAGAATTTAGGGTGGATTGTGTGGATACTGCCTACTTTACAGCTATTTTCTGGAGAAAATGTATCTTTTTTTTTCTTGCTTAAAATGCAAACAATTGGAATATTTGAGGAGTTGGAATATTTAGTTAAAATGTCCAGGTTAAATCAAGGTTATCTGAAAGTTCCATTTCATTTCAAGCCTTATTCATCCAATCTTTTTTTTTTCAAATTGAAGTATAGTTGATTTATGATATTGTGTTGGCTTCTGGTGCACAGCGTAGTGACTCAGCTATACATGTATATATATATTCTTTTTCGTGAGAGGTTATTACGGGATATTGAATAGAGTTCCCTGTACTAGACAGTAGGACCTTGTTTATTAATTTTGTATATAGTCTTTATTAAAAGCATTGGTGGACATGACACCGGTGACTCCGGGTCTACTGTTTCTGAAGTTCATGGGCGCCTCCCTTACCAGACCGCCCTCCCCAGCTCCTCGAGCGGCGCTCATCGTGCTGTTGGTCGGAGCCAGCGCGGTGGCCGGCCTCCTCCCGGCACGGGCTCAGTGGCTGAGAAGCTTCTCCGCACCTGTCCCCGCAGGATACACGGGTGCCCAGTGTGAGACCGACGTGGACGGATGCAGCAGCCACCCCTGCCAGTCGGGCGGGCAGTGCGTGGCGCTGTCCTCGGAGACCGCGCGCGGGCGCGGCGC